TTCATGAATACCAGCAGATTCCATACCCAAGAAGGATGGCTAAAAAGATTCTTCTTTTTGCAAAGAAATCAAAATTTCAATTAGAAAGGAAATTCCCCAAATAAATTGCTTACATTGTAATCTTAGCTCCTTCTATATAAAGAGTCAAAAATTCCCAGCTGACCTGAAATAGAGCTTCTGGGCATCGGAATCGTTCGTTGCCTACGGTAATCACTTGGCCATCAGGCAATTCATAAGACTTTTCAAGGGACGAGGACGATGCAGCAGTTGCCATTTCCTGCTCGAAGTCTAAGGCGACATAGCACAACTTCTCCTTGATGTCACGCACAATTTCACGCTCAGCCGTGGTTGTGAATGAGTAACCACGTTCAGTGAGGATCTTCATTAAGTAATCTGTCAAGTCCCGTCCAGCCAAATCCAGACGCAAAATTGCGTGCGGAAGTGCGTAACCTGAAATAACGAAGACACAATTAATTTATCCTCAAGTTTGCCATAACTTATCATTACAGTTGAAGTCAATTCATGGATACATTCTGATTTTCATGTAAATGTTGCTGGCCCCAAGCAAACTTTGAATCAGTGATTTTGAAGAATGGCAATTGATTCGATTTAATGATACCTTCGTAAATTGGTACAGTATGAGTGACGCCATCACCGGAATCAAGTACGATGCCAGTAGTACGACCGGAAGCATACAGAGACAGGACAGCTTGGATGGCAACATACATAGCCGGAGTATTGAATGTTTCGAACATGATCTGAGTCATCTTTTCTCTGTTTGCCTTTGGGTTCAATGGGGCTTCGGTAAGTAATACTGGATGTTCCTCGGGAGCAACTCGAAGTTCGTTGTAGAAGGTATGATGCCAGATTTTCTCCATGTCATCCCAGTTTGTGACAATGCCGTGCTCAATTGGATATTTCAATGTCAGGATACCTCTCTTCGACTGAGCCTCATCGCCTACGTATGAATCCTTTTGACCCATACCGACCATGACACCCTGCAAAACTTTTCATCGATGCCCGGAAACCATCAAAATTTTCCAAATCAGTTTTTAAAGCCGATTATAATTTCCTAACTGGATATATCTCTTTTTTATTCAATTTAAATTGTTTGTGTTAGATGTGAGCAGAGTTGAGAAGCTTACCTGATGCCTCGGTCGTCCGACTATTGATGGAAATACAGCTCGAGGTGCATCATCACCGGCAAATCCGGCTTTGCACATACCGGATCCATTGTCTACTACCAATGCCGCTACTTCCTCGTCGCACATTATTTATGGTTTTTGAAACAGATGCTGCTGAACGGGTTAACCTTTCCTGGTGAAAAAGAAAAGTTGTTGTAAGCGCATGTCTTTTAAATTAAAACCAGCTAATATTTCTTTGCTCTTATTCCTGACCAAATGTAACCTAAACAGCAAGCAATGTGTTACTAAGCCAGATTTGACTAAAGTTTAGCTATCCATTGCTTAAACTTAATGTTTTACGTTTGACAGATCAGTAAAAAAATCTCCAAAACTATAAAAAGGAACTTTGAAATTCCGAAATAATGTGAAATTTCTACCTTACCATTTATTTCTACCTAATTTTTCTCAGTAAAGTGGAAAGAGTTGTAGCAATGATCAATCTTTTACATTTTAAACTTGGTTTAATTACGAGGCAATAACTTTAGGCTAATTTCTTCAGCTTCTAAAAAGCACCACAAACTGCAGGAATAAGAGGAACAGCAAAAGCATGAAGGCTG